GTGAGGAGAGAAGTCTAGAAATGAGCCTACTGTTTGTCCTTTTTGTTAAAGGGACAAACCAGTGAGGCTACTGAAGAATAAACTGTTTAAATTCAATGAAAGATGATTTGGGGGCAAATCCCAAAGGATTTGGGGATAAGGCTTTAATTGTTCAGATGACTGAAGTCAGCAGAGCTTTAAGGGCATCTCTCTTCTGTTCTTCAACACAGAGTGGGAGCTCTCCAAGGTTCCTTCCAGGACTTGATGTTTTATCAAGTTTTGATGTCTCTCTCCTTATTCCTGTATGTGAACTCTTCTTTCCCAGCTTGCTAGTGTCTTGTTATGTGGACATGCCACAGTGATAGTGTCTGGCCTGAGAAGGCTGTGAGAGACCACACAGAACCCTGACTTCAGTCACAGCACCTGGCCAAGCCACTGGCTACCCTCACTGCTGTGGCAGTCACTCAACCTTTATGTGCAAAATAGGACAGCAACACCAAACCCACATAGCTGTTTGGAGGAGTAAATAATGGAGCTTTGGCCATGTCTGGCTTTGAATGTAGTCAGTAAATGATAGTTCCTAGTTATTATTTCCTATCCAGGTTAGTTCATTCAATAGGCAATGTTAATGCAAATGAAACAATTCAGCTATCAGAATGGTACAATTTTGAGAATCCTTTATAAAGTCTATGGGCTTTCAACTATAAACATCTTGTCATTATTCACAAGTTGCTTATTAGCATCATTGGTTTTATGTAAGAAAAATTTAAATTGTCAATCACCTTTAATGATATAGACTAGTCATCTCAGTGTTTTCTATGAGAAGGCAGAACGAAGACATTTTCACTAACATACATATGAGAGAAAGAATAAAACTATTGTTTATAAACAAGGATAAATTATAAGGATGTTGTCTTCTACTATGAATGAGTCTGAAACACAGGAAAGTGGACAGAGGTCTGATGGATTAAGAGAGGGCTATGATAATGAGGTAGTGGTTAAGCTGGAATTTGCACCAGGACAGTGTGATTGCTGGAGTTCATGCTGCATGCTGACTGTGGGCCCGACTTTTGCCTATTTACCTATGCATGATGATATCATCATTTTGGGCACATTGTCCAGTGCCATCTAGATCAAATCCAAATAAGTATGTGTTCAAAATACAAAAAGTAGATTTTGTAAGATTATAGGTAGAGTTAGGGGGACAACATAGTGGTATTTTGCTTGTCCAGCAAGTGAGAGAGCCTGAATTTGATCCCTAACACCACATATACACACAAAGGAAGTAAAAGATTATAGGCACAACTGTCTAATCCACTGACATAAGTAACAAGATGTTTACTTTTTTTCCCCACAATGATCCTTCCTCAAGAAAAAACTTAAAATATCAACAATAAATTTTGGTTAAAATAATCCTGTTCATCCATTCATTTAAACACCAAAGACTCATGGTTTAAAAGGATTTAAGTAGTGCATTACAAACACTGAGTTGTACAGAAATAAACCTTTTAATAGAAATTTTAAACTACTCTGTAATATACTATTAGGTTGGTTACTGATTAAGCTATTATACTGTTTCTATATGGTCACCATAGTTGATTTTAGTAGATTTTTCTTAACAAGTTAGTTTGGTTCCATTTTAAATAAGTGACAAAGTAGATTCTCAAGCTCAACTAATTCATATTACTGCTCAAAAAAAGGAAGTAAAAACTTGCCTACATAAATTGCGCTCTTCAGCTCAAGGCGAGTGCTCTACCGCTTGAGCCACAGCACCACTTCCTGCTTTTCATCTTGAGTGATAATCATTTCTATATCTACCCTAGAAGGTCATAGTAAGGACTCAGCCTGGTATTCAGTCCACAGTAATTGCTCAATGTTAATTAGCTATTACTATATTGTTATTTTTAGTAGTACCATGATCATGATCTACTTTAAAAGACAAAACACCTATATATTAAAGAAGCTTAAAAAAAACAAACCATGTTCTAGATCTTCTGCTGAAACCAATCTACACCTCAAAGGTCCTTCTGCTCACCAAGCAAACTGCTGTTTACCTATGATATCTGTATTAGTCTCGGAATTGATAAATGTGGACAAATCCAGCAAAATTTTAATAGAGGTAGAGAGGGTTTAAATTTTTCCCTTCTTCTATGAATTATTAAAAAAATTCATAGATCATGTATGACTCCACTTGAGGTATGCTTTCAATTACTTCCTCTGCTTGACACTTGATACTTTCAATTACCTCCTCTACTTTATACTTGTTGAAAAAAAAGTCATCATGTTTGTATAGTATTTCTGTGGTAACACTTATTTTTTCCCTACCTATTGGTATAAAGGACTACACGTTAAAGCAAAGTAGAAACAATTTCTTTTTAGAGTCACAGTTGATTCACCTGTTGCCTAAGAGTCTAAGGAAATACCAAACTCTAGCTCTCTAATTTTATAGGTTAGTTCCACTACCACCATTTACTATTGTGCTGGACACAGTACTTGCACATCTTACTTATATGTAACTCACTTAATCCTCATGTAAGCAATGTACCCAATTTCTCAAAAGTCAGGATCTGAATTGAGGTATAATTAGTGGGACTTGTAAGATAGCTGACTTGGATAAACAGCTATCTTTTGTCATTTCTCTGATCCACAGCCTATTAAAACAGATGCAAAGGCTTGTTTGTATTCCTTTTGTCAGGTGAAATCTGGGCTACTGTTAACGGAGCTTTTGCCTCCTCCAGATAATACGAAGGACTTTTCCGTCTTGATGTCAGAAGGCTGCTGTGGAAAACCATGGACTGCTATTATGAACCTAATCTGATGTGCTTCTCTCACATTCGCAACCAACTGTTGAAATGATGCCGGTGCCTTTGCAAAGGTAAGATGGTGATGAAAGCAATAACGGCACATTTGGTTTGTTAAGGGACCATTTGCCAAGTTATTAGGAACAAGATGGATAGTAACTAATTGCTGACAGACAATGTCTCTAACAAACACTTCAACAGGTGAACTATAAGTGACTGTTTTTTTTTTTTTTGGGGGGGGGTCCAGTCGTGGGGCCTGAATTCTGGGCCTGGGTGCTGTCCCCCAGCTCTTCAGCTCAAGTCTAGCACTCTACCACTTGAGTCACAGTGCCACTTCCGGCTTTTTTTTTCTGCTTATGTGGTGCTGAGGAATCGAACCCAGGGCCTCATGTATGCAAGGCAAGCGCTCTACCACTGAGCCACCTTCCCAGCCCCGTTACTGGTTTCTGGATCTTGATTTTGGACAATTCTCAGGTCCAACTCCTTATTCATAAATATTAGAAACACATGCTAGATCTGTGTGGAAGTGCTTTAAAACCATATAAATACCATAAAAAACATTATGATAAAATGGTTTCAAAAATACAACTAAGAGTTGGGTTTTAGTGCCCATAACTTGTCAGTTCAGTTATACCTCCAGTATAGTCGGGATAACAAGTATGTACCACCATAACTAGCTTTTTACTGGTTGAGACCAGGGTCTCTCTGCATGCCTGGGCTAGCTTGTAAACTACAGTCCTTCCAATTTCCATCTCCTGAGGAGCTAGAGCCCCAGGTGTGAGCCATGTGCCTTTATTTATTCTTTTATTTTTCTTCTTGTCAGTTATGGGCCAGGGCACTGTCCCTGAACTATTTTGCTAGCACTCTACCACTCTGAGCCACAGATCCACTTATAGTTTTCTGGTGGCTAATTGGAAGTAAGAGTCTTATAGACTTTCCTGTCTATGGGTTGGCTTTGAACTGTGATCCTGAGATCTTAAGTCTCCTGTGTAGCTAGGATTAGAGGTGTGAACCACCAGCACTTAGCTCTGGCTTAACTTCTAGCCAAAGAAGACAAAGAATAAAGTTAGGCAGAAAAATGTGACAGCTGTCCTTACTGTTGTCGGCCAAACTAATTTTTCTAGGTAAGTTTGAAGTTTAAAATATTATAGCTGGGAGCAGTAGGAGCAGTGGCTCATGCCTATAAATGTAGCTAATTGGGAGGCTGCTATTAGGAGGAGCATGGTTTGAGTCCAATCCAAGTAGATAAAGTTTGTGAGCCTCCATCTCAACCAATAAGCTGGGTAAAATGACATATGCCTATCATAGGATGACTATAGTGTAGGAACAACTGGGGGTATGGCTCGAGTGGTAGAACTCCTGTCTAGGAAGTATAAAGCTGAATTCAAATCCTACTATTGCTCCAAAAGCCATTGCAAAATTAGCAGCAATCTATTTGCTATAGGTCAAAGATAGACTTTTATTAATACCAAGCTACTTTTGTTTAGAGGTTTAAAGGCAATGTGTCAATTGGCCACTCGATTACTATAATAACTTCCAAGACCTTGGAGGCTACCTGTTTTGCCTGCAGGATCATGGCTTTAGATCCTACACAGTGCAGCATCTACCTAGTTTCTCTGGAAATAATCTAACTGTTCTCTGGATGAACTCTGTAAAAACTGGATTTTCTGACATGATAAAACATTTCTGCTCTGTGGAATTACTTTCTATCAACCACATTGCTGGATCAGCTTAAATTTTCAGTTGAGATATTCAGCAGTAAGTTCTAATTTGTTAAAGTGAAAGTGAAAGGAAGAGGTGATATTAATGGAAAGTACTACAGACAGACACAAGTTAATGAAATACCAAAAGTCCTTAAAGGAAAACCTGTGAACCAGCAGTCCCTCCACTGGTCTCACTAACCTCATAGGGAAGGGATGTTCTCCATAATCTTAAAGACATGGCTGCTGTCTTTCTCACTTATCTAACAGTCTATATAAAATATTATGAAGTAGACTTGATACTGAATAAAAATATTAGTCAATGGACTTTGGCCATCCAGTGGGTCTAAACAACTTTATGGGTATCAGAATTAAAATTAAACTTTGTAACCTCATTACAAATATCTCCCCAGTTCTGGGTGATTTACATCTAAAATACAGATATAATTGCTGGCTTTGTTTACCTGCATTTTTCACTAGGACTTTGTTCAGATAGTCCCGAAAATGATAAACTGCTTACTTTTTCATGCTTGTGTTTCTCCTTTTCTTTTTCTCTCCTCTCTCTCTCTCTTTTCTCTTTCTCCCTTTCCTTTTCTTTCTTCTCCTTTTCCTTCTCTTTCTCTTTCTTTTTCTTCTTCTCCTTTTTGTCTTTTTTCCTTTCTTTCTCCTTAGGTTTCTCCTTCTCCTCAAACAGTTTTTCTGGGAGCATTGGCGACAGGGCAGGCAGCATGGAGGGGCCCCTCACTGCAGCAGGGCTGAACAGGGGCAGTACCATCTCTTTCGGGGGCAATACCAGTGGTGCCGGTAGAGCCTTTGTCTTATCTTCTCTCCCTTTATCCTTTGCTTTTTCTTTTTCTCTCTTCTCCTTATCTCGTTTGCCCTTTTCTCTATCTTTCTTCTTGTCTTTATGCTTTTCTTTCTCCTTCCGCACAATTCCATCTTTCAATCTCACTTTTGGATCAACATCTTCAAATTCTTTTATTTTAAACTTATAGGGATCCGAATCTTCATCTTTAAGGAACTCCTTCCATGGGTACTTTGTTTCCTTGCCAGCTTCTTTCTCTTTCTCCTTCTCTTTCACCTTATCCTTGTCTTTACTTTTTTCTTTGCTTCTGTCTTTTTCCCTCTCTTTATCTCTCTGCTTTTCCTTCTTTTTCAATTTAGTCTTCAGCTCTTTCTTCAGCTTCTTTTTTACTTCCACTGATGAGGGTGTCTTGGTTTTGTCTTCATACACTTTGTGGAGAGGTTCAGGAGTGGGAGGAGAAACTGAAGGAGAGGAGATGTAAGGAAAGCTAGGAGGCATATTGGAAGGTGTTCCCAGTTTTGCCTTGCGTACAACCTCATCGATGGAGGCATCCATCGTCCATGAGTTATCAGAACTAGAAGTTCCACCTGAAAGAGGCAGAGGAGTGGATCCTGCCTTAGTGAAATTGTTTGAGGAAGTAGATGCTTTGGGAGTGGTACACTCTGAACCTGAAATTCTCTTAGGGCTCATAAAAATGTCTCCTTCAGATTCAGATCCAGAAGAAAATTCAAAAGGATCTGGCTCACGTTCAGCACAGGCTCGGGCAATCACGGCATCTATAGAGTCATCGATAGTTTTATCTGTTACCAAAGCCTTTCTCGGCTGAGTGTCATTATTCAGTTTCCCAGTGTCGGGGGGAGGTGGTGTTTGTTTTACCTGGGTGATTTCTTTACTAAGTTTTTCACTTACTGGAGTTGAAGGAGTCCTATTTGGTGTGTCAGGTCTGACAGGTGGTTGGGGAATATGAGTGGTAATCTTGGGGCTCTTGGGACTTTTGGGGCTCTTAGAACGTCCAGGTGATTTTTTTTCTTTGGAAACAGGTCTTGGTGACCGAATAGGACTTCCGACCATTGCTGGTGAAGGGGCGGTTTTAGGGGATTTACTTTTCTGTCCTGGAGAAGTAGTTTTAGTCTTTGCTTTAGGTGGGAATGTCTTTGTTTCTAATGGTTTTGCAGTTGGTATTTGGGATTTTGCCACTGGAGCTAACATTGGTGGCTCTGGTGAAGGAGGTGCTAGGTCTGTACTGTCTTGCACGTGGACTGGGGAAAGCATTGGTGGGATCTTTTGTGTATTTATTGAGCTGAGAGGCTCTCGAGCTTCCAATAATACTACATCTAGTGTGTCCCCTTTAGTGCTTAACAGTCGTGGTCGCTTCATGGCCGGCATTTCTTCAGCTTCAGGACTGTCCAGTGGCCTCTTGCCCAAGAAGTTCTCATCATTAATGATTTCCTCCTCCTCCAGTTCGTCATCTTCCTCCAAGGGAACCTGCATGGCTTCAGCTGATGTACCCCCATCAGTAGGCACCTGCTCTTCTTCTTCCTCTGGGAAAGGAAGAAAGAAGTATTAGTGCAATGTTGGTATCAAAGACTAACAGACAGAAACAATGTTTCAGACATGACTTCTGGAAAAGACAGAGAATTACTGAGGGTTTAGAGTAAAGCAGTAACTTTTCAAGGATTTTGCCAATCTGTGTGTGTTTATGAGTGGCAATCAGTGACAGCAGATGTATAAACTGATTCATGTCCTAACTTCAGGATCTGGACTTTGCTGATTATTTCTAGTTTGTCTTCTCTTGCTTCCTTAATTCAGTTTCTAACACAAGTAAGTACTATTTTATACTTCTATATCCATCATGTTAGCTGTGTTCTCTCTCTCTCTCTCACACACACACACACACACACCCCTACCTCAAAACAATCAAGAGATGGGTTATTATATAACTATGATTCTCAGAAAAGATAGGAAGATACTTTTAGCACTTTTGTAACAAATTTTAGTTCTATGGAAAGTTCATATCCTGCTTCTAAGTTCTACTTTGTGTCAATGTCACCTACTTGAAGAGGCAGCATGATCTAATGCAATACACATTTGGCTTAGACATCTGAAAAGGGGTGCTTTACCTGGAGTTTTGACACTGTAGAGCAATGGCCTCGGGCAGCCTCCCAAACTCCTTGAGACTGCTTGCTAGCCTTTCAAAAGGAGCTAATGTTACTTGCCCTGCCTACATGACCAAGCTGTTAAAAAACTAGATTATTTCGTTTTACATATGTTAACTAAGCACAAAATATACAATGATAAGGGCAAAAAGGACTATAGGAATAACCATTAGTACCACAGATAGATGACACAGCAGAAGAGTTTGAAAGAAATTCAGATTACTTCACTTTCAAGTTTATTTGTAATATTTGGAACTGGGAATGATGAAGGTCCAGGATGAAGGGTTAGATGACAAACACATGGAGGTGGGGCAAAGGAAGAAGATAAGAATCAAAGACTTAAGATTTAACTGGTCTGGAAACTAGGGTATAAATGGGGAACGGTACAAAGCAAGTTTAGTAAAGCTATATTCAGATCCCATGATATCTGAATTCCAGAAGAAACATGGCCTCTAATATACTGGTAGACAAGATGTAGTGATACTTTTAGGAAATAGAGAAGAAAATGTCTGGGGTACATGTTAGGGAAATTATACTGGCAGGAATATGAATGGTAAGTGAATATGGGAAGATAACAGATACTAAAGGAGAAGGGAAAAGTTAGGGGTTACTGAGATGTAGATAAGAGGCAATACCAGACAGCTGCCCATGGCTCATGTCTGTAATCCTAGCTACTCAGGAGGCCAAGATCTGAGGATGAAGGTTCAAAGCCAGCCTGGGTCTCCAATTAGGGACCAGAAAAACAAAGCTGGAAGTGGATCTGTAGCTCAAGTGGTAAAGCACTAGCCTTCAGCAAAAAAGTTCAGGATGAGTTCATACTGGAATAGCTGGAAGCAAATAGGAAGTCATATGTGTAAATGATACTCTGAAGGCAATGAATAGAACCCACCAACAGGAACTGAAAGTAAGGTCATTGAGAAGGATGATCTGATTAGCAGTTCAATCCCCAGAGTTCGTTGAACACACAGTCAATGATATCTACTGGATATTTTAAAAGTACTGAAATTCTGAAACTAGGACAAGGTGCATGAGAGAAGGCTCTTTGGTGAGAGAACCAACATCACAATAAAGCACATAGGAACAAGAGTGAGCAGAGGTAGCAGGTTCAGATATTTGAGGAATACCTACATGGAAAAACTAAAGAAATATATATAGGATCAGATGCCAAGGAGATCACAGGAGCATGCGTTGTTTTCAAAAGGAAGCTTAGTGTTCAAAGTCAATGCTTAAGAGGAACAATGAGAATGAAGGCTGATAGAAGTCTGGCTACGTAAGCATGGCTGACAGGGAATGAATGCATGGGTGATGTACGTACACGGAGGCACAATGTCAACTATAAAGCATGATGCAACATCAGCATGGCATTACTGCTGCCGTTACTTGATGATCACTCCATCATCTATCCACCACCAAAGGTGGAAACATGGGAGCCATTTCAGACTACTTCCCCTCCAGATCTGAACTTGTGAACACAACTTTTCTATTTTGTTTTCTGGGAAGTGCTTCCCCCACTATTGCTGTCTCCTTAGTGACCACCTTCTATCTAGTCTCTGCCTTCTATGAGCTCTTGAGCAGGCCATATGTGAGTGTGTGGTTCCTGGTCTTAAGACTTTATGGGGTTTTGTGCATTGTTAGGGTTTGAACTCAGGGCTTATGCTTGCTACACAGGTACACTTGAGGCATGCCCTTCAAGCCACCCCCTATTTAGATATTTTTCAGATAGGGTCTCATGCTTTTGGCCTGAAATCTGTCTGGGACCATGATCAGATTCTTCTTCCATGAATCCAGTAGTAAGATTACAGGCATAAGCCACTCTGCCCATCCCTAAGACTGCTCAATGGTCCTATCAGAAGGAATTTGTAACTTTTTAGAGCCTGAGGGCTGTGTGGACCCTTTTCAGAGGCTATTGTACAGTAGAGATGCAATGTGATCTCATATTCTCTGTTACATACAAGAGCTATGCACAGGGTTATCTGTTTAACAGGCTGAACATCCACAAAAGACTTGTGAAATAAGTTTGAAAGTTACTATTTTAAAATATAAAACTCCAATTTCCCCAGCATGATCAAGAAAGATGCTATATCATTCAGTTCAGGAACTTACCTCATCTTTTACAGCAAGCCTGAGTGTGCTACTCACAATAGCCACGCTCACTCACTCACAGTTCCTCAAATATACAAGGTCACCCTTGCATGCCCCTGCTTATCCAAATCCCTACACCTGGCATCTTTTTGCCTTCTTGATTTGTCAGTGACTATGTCTTTTAAGACCAAATGTTACAACTCCTGTAATGCTTTCTCTTAGTAACCATGCCTTTGAGATCTACTGTATTCTGGTAATAAATTCAACAAAGAAAGCCTAGGATTTATTAGCCCTTTTACAGGAAAGCTTTCCTTTCTATCTTCATGAGAACAGAATCAACTTCACACCTGTTCCACTGCTAACAAGTAAATATAAAAAATCAGAAAGAGGACAGTTTTAGGGTATTTTTCAAGAGAATGAAAAAAATTTAAACACTTATTAGTCCCATATTTCTAAATCTTAAAAACTCCCCTTACTCTACAGAAAGTTCATAAACTCCAAAGATACCAAAGCAGAAAGATAAAGGTTTGGCCTAGGTAGATGACAGGCTTATAGAATACTTTTACACTACACTAAGTTCTTCTAACTCTGGAGGACAATTTCTATCTAGATTAGCTCTGAGTGAGTCTCCTAGAGAGTGCCTTAGGAAGGTACTGGGAGACCAAAGGGAAAGTGCCGTAATAGAAGCAATTCCTGAAAGGCAAACTCAGGACGATTCTTCCAATTGCAAGAACTGTTGTACAACTAAAGTACATTGAGCACTAGTTTTCTATGCAGGATGTTTGAAAACTATTTTTTCATTAGTGTGTGATTCTTTCAGATTGGAACTAGTGTGATAGCTATTAGGTATTTGGACTACATGGGCTATCTTGGGTGTGGCAAAAAGACAATAGTTTCATTCAATTACTTTAAAAAATGTATTGGTTCATTTTGAATCTACAGCTCAAACAATTCATAAAAAGTATTTTGAAAGCTCATGATAATAGTTGCTTATGTTTAAGAAAAAATAAATCTTGATTTTAAGTAGGGCTTGATTATTCTGATCTGTCTGTCTGTCTGTCTGTCTGTCTATCTATCTATCTATCTTTCTATCTATCTGTTGTAGGGCCTGAGCACTGGGCTTGGGTGTTGTCCCTGAGCTCTTTCACTCAAGGCTAATGCTCCACCACTTTGATTTATATGTCTACTTCTGGTTTTCTGGTGGTTAACTAGAGATAAGAGTCTCCTGGACTTGCCTGCCCAGACTGACTTTGAAAAATAATCCTCATATCTCAGCCACCTAAGGAGCTAGATTACAGGCCTGAGCCACACTGCTACCTGGCTTATTATTCATTTTTCTCTTTTGCTTATTTCATATCCCTGCCAACTTGTAGTAGTCTAGAGGCCAATGCTTTAAAGGTATAGGTACTGATTTAAAAAAACTAAGCCATTACACAATAATTTTAGAAATACCTAAAAACAAGCATTTAAAAAAGAACCAACAGGATATTCATTTACTATTTCTTATTTATGCTTAAAGATTTTATAGGAGAATTTCCCGTGCAGTATCAAAATCAACCAAGATGAACAAAGAACTCTGATGGAAAAGAAAATCTGTGTATGTGCGTGTGTGTACTGGGGCTGGAACTCAAGGCCTGGACTCTTCCCTTGAAGTTTTTCCTCAATGCTAAGCACTCTATCACTTGGGCCACAGGTCCATTTTTGGCTTTTTGGTAGTTAATTGAAGATAAGAGTCTCAAGGACTTTGCTATCTGGGCTGGCTTTGAATCATGATCCTCAGCTTTCAGATTTCAGAGTAGACAGGATTACAGGTGTAAGCTATTGGTGCCAGGCAAAAAACAAATAAACAAAGAAAAACCTAGAGCAAAATTAAGAACAGTAAAAAGAGGGAAAAGATACTTAAGTAATGGAGCTTGAACTCAGGGTTTGGGCACTGTCCCTGGGCATTTTTTGTTCAAGGCTAGAGTACTACTACTTTAAGTCAGACTTTCCTGCCTGGGCTAGCTTTGAAATATGATCCTCAGATCTCAGCTTCCTAAGTAGCCAGGATTACAGGTATGAGCCACCAGCTCCTGGCTTAAATAATTTTCTTTTAAATGAGAAATTATGACAGGTAATATAAAGTATAAGGCAAAACAATCTATGAACAGTTCTGGGACCAACACTTCACATTAGCAATACCATGCCAGTTTTCTCTGGTCCCTTTCCTATTTACTACCCCTGCCCTGCTTTCTTTGTGCCTACTCCCAGGCTTTAGGTTACTATCATTAAAACAAACAAAAAAACAAACAAAAAACCCACGA